TATTGGGATCCATATTGATTTTGATTCAATATCATGCTAATGTCAATGTGAAGCCGGGAGATGTTCAATAAATGGCAAGCTCAGAGATGGTGGGGTGAAAATTATGATAGAATAATGGAGCTCTACAATGTTCAGAGATTTAACCAGCAAGCTCTCAACACTCCCGGAAGATCTGAGGACGGAGTAAATTACATTTACTTTCTTGCATTGCGTTTTTATATTGAGAACGAGGCTTAATTTGTTGTACATATCTGTATGTAAACTAATCGGAACTCTCGACTCCTATTGCTGCAGAGAGATTCTACTTACTCAAAGCTCGGTTCTGCCATGGAAAGTCCTCGGATGACTCCATTCAACAAAGAATGGACTCCAACTCCAAGGTTCAAACCTCCTGACCATCTTCAAGTTGCGGCTAATCAACATTACAATCCTGGATCGAGTGCTTTCACGGCTGGTTGCCCCAAGGGTGAAATGTCGTCTATGGATGCATCAAGAACAACAACTTCCTCCCGAGATGAGGCTTCAGTTTCTGTAAGCAATGCAAGTGACATTGAATCGGAATGGATAGAACAGGATGGACCTGGGGTTTTTATTACCATTAGGCAACTGGCTGATGGCACTAGGGAGCTCCGGCGTGTCAGATTTAGGTAATTAAATTCTGCGTTCGTGTAAAAATTATGCAAATAAACTCGATGAAAGTTTTTTGCTGCTAATCCTTGTCCATTTATGTGCTTAATCGATGCAGCCGTGAAAGATTTGGCGAAGTGCATGCAAAGCTCTGGTGGGAAACTAACCGGGAGAGAATACAAGCTCAGTACCTGTGATACTATGTAATGTAAAGCTCAAACTCCATGGATATGGAACCGTTCCCTTTTTTACATCCGGGCTTGCAGAATGGAGACTTGAGGCAGTGGATTCACCAGCATCGTGCTAAAACGACTAAGCCAAAATCCGACTCTATAGCATTGTTAAGTTACAAAGTATTCAGACAGATATTTCATTCTGATATGCTGTTTTTTCTTGATCATTAGTTATTTATAGTCTATACCATGATTTTGAAAATTCTTTCTAGTCCTTGTTTTCCCTTGTTTCTTTTCCTGATCCTCATCTGATGGAATCATTTATATCTCAGTTGGCGGTATCAAATTCTACAACTCAGAGTAACTTAAATAGAATTAAGAATACCGTAACAAACTCGATTTTATTGGTTGGATACATATTTTCTCCAGCGGTACAAGAACAATAAGTCATTATAATGTCTAATCCCGTACAGTACCAAACACACAACTCATGAATGCAATGGCATCCTCGAATTGTTCGTGTTGAATTGTGTAAGGTGCACCACTTGAGGGAGGAGATGATACTTAATGTTGAGACTTTCGAAAATCTTCTTCAACTCAAGGAGAAGCTCTGTTATACGGGCATTTCTATCACTGTAATTCTGATGGTTAATGGTGTGTTGAACAGAAACAGCCATTTTCATTTTATCCACATTCTCAATTTCCTTCACTATCACTGAATGTTTGGGGTTCCAGTACTTGGGTTTGCTCTCAATGTACCTGCACCATATGATAAATTCAATCAACCAAATTTTATCCATCCCCAAAAACGACGAATTGATCAACACAATTCGAGAATCTTACATTTGTATGGCTTTCTTGAGAGCAATAATCGTCTCCATTGATGTGGAGACATCGATGGTGAAATCAATTGTATCACACATTTCCGGGCTTCTATAGAAGTTGCTTATTGGTTTTGTAATCAGAATTGCATTAGGGTAGTAGATTTTCTCATTGTCGTACCGAAGGAAAACGGTTGTCAATATATTCATCTCTTCCACAATCAGCTGCATATCAATAGTACACAAATCTATGAGACAATTTCTATCAATGTTAATCGCACTTGACACAATGGATGTTTATGTTTATGATGAACTTGTACACTTACGTATTTGGTACATTGACATGAAAGAATTATTTGTCAAAAACAAATTCTTCTTCTCTTTGATCATGTGCAATCCAATGTATCAAACATGCTTGCTTTATTATTTTTTTGTCACGCCAATCACATCTTAGAAAAATTCCCTTTACATGATGAAGGTAAACTAGGGTTGCAGACAAGTCAAGTTGGCAAGGCCAATCGAAAGAGCCATGCAACCTATTTTTTCAAGGTGGGCTGACCTTCTATTGAAAGATAGCTTACATTATAAGCCCAAAAATGATACTTGTACAGATAAATTGTACGGACACTCAGTACCTGATTGGCTATTTTAATTTTGTTTTAGTTGAAAAATCCAATCAAACGTTGCCATGTGGCATTCTGTAAATCAATCAGTGCAATTTATCTGTACATGTAGTATTGTTCTTTTAAGCATGATGTATCGGTCTTTTACCAGGATGGACCACCCCGCTACTAGGAAGCTCAACCCACTTTGACATCACGAGGTGAAACAGTAAATTAATTATGAGAAGTGTTACCTGAACACCATCGATGACACAGCGATCTCCAATGTCGAATGGATGCATGACGAAGACGAAGACAATGGACTCGAAAACAGTCTTGCACATGTTTTGGAAAGTAAATCCCACAAGTAGTAGTTGTGTTATAATGAAAGCTACTACTTTTGTTGAGGCCAACCCCATAACCAAAACGAATACCACCGCAATAATCATACTCACAACTGCACTTGCAAGTTTGTGAAGCTGTTGAACTGCTGTCTTCGTGTCATTCAGGGAATGTGCAAGAGATTTTCTTTCATGATAAGCACGAACCTGAATTACTTATAATTAACACATAATTAGTTTAAATCTGTTCAAGAAAATAAGCTTGATAAATGGAGTTAATTATAATGAAAGGAAGTGGGAAATTGAAAGACTTGCCACCCAGTTTCTGAAGGCAGATTTAGTGATCTTGCCTGTCTCCAATGCACCTTCAAAAAGTGGGAATATTGTGTGAATTTCAACTCTTTTCAAGAATCTCATCAGATCCTCTTCTTCAATGTACCTAAACAAGTGATAAGATGGTCAACTTCACCTTCAAAATATTTAGAGACCACATCGAAATTAGAAAAGGAATTGCCAAATTAATGGAACTTCAACAAGTTTAAGACCATGACACTCATTTAGGTAACAGTTTGTAGTCATCATTATAAGTCTTAACAGCCCCCCCGGGACATATCTCAGTAGTGTAAAGGACAAGGGTGAGGTATACTCAATCTTGCTGACAGTCGCAGTGTGAGAGTTCGATTCCTAAAATATAGATTGAGATTTTTTGTGGGCACCAGTGTACAGGCAGCTCTTATTCTCTGACCTGTTGGAGTACATCTCGCGATTAACCTCTCTCACGATACTCCAGGAGCGGGGCAGTGAGAGTTCCATAAGGTTGGGGTTCAACCTTTTTTTATAAGTCTTAACAATTTTTAAACGTCATAAAATGATAAAATTCGTTGAATATTCACACACCGTATATTTTCTCTAGACTCCAAAATTTAATTGAACGAGTTTCATGTATTGTATCTACATGCATATTATAGCCTTCTCCACTCATGTATCTCTAAATGGGCATTACCATTTTTTTCTTTTTGCTACCATAATAAAAATTGAGATTGAAATAAGGCTAAAGATCGTCATCAGACGTCATGTTTAGCTTACTGTACGATCTAGCTAGAACCCATAAATGAATTCGATGTGTCTCTAACTATAGAGGTAGTGTGTGGGCCAAATTTTACCATGTCAATGGCTAGCAGCTTTATCTCATACATGCAGCCTCCACTAGCACCGGTTGTTGGATAATAGAGTACACTGAATATGAAAAATGGGCTGACACAGACGAACAGAAGACCACCATATGGAACAAGAGGACCTTAAAATTGTAAGGGTTGTTGTCCTATACAAAAAGTTAATATTTTCAGCTTAAATTCATCATCAAATTATAGTTTATGTGCAGAAGTTGTCAGCTGATGTTGACCCGCACTATCTGAGGTCTTCCTCCTGTGGTAGTCCTCATTAAACATGTGGTGATATTTCAACGTCATGTGGTCTAATCACGACTGAAACAGGTTAACATAACGAATTGGGAACAGACGTGAATCTTTGTTGCAGTATCGATCAGTCCCACTGCCACTAGTTTAAATCCTCGTGCTAGACAAAAGGATTATGCCACTAAGGAGCCAAAGTGAATTTTCCACTAACAATATGAAATGATGTACTCCATTTGGAGAATCTTTATCCCAGGAACCCTAATTCCTAGTACGGATTTGGACATGTGAATGTATTTTCTTTCTAGGGTAAAAGTTGTAATAGTTGGTTCTATCTACAGTAGTATATGAAAGGCTTTTATAAAATCTATAGTAGGAATTCACCAGAGAACAATGCTATGGGTTGACCCCGTAGATTGGTCTTTCCACGTGGCCAATTGAGAGCCACTCCAGATGTTCCTTCTTGTATGCAACAACAAACGGTCGGGCGTATATGGCTATTCCCAGCGGCGGTGGCGGCGGCCATATACACTCTGAAAATCAAGTTAGCCGACGGTGATGACGATTTTTGCCAGAATACGCAAACTTGGGGGAGGAGAAAATGTATATACTTTGTGGTGGAATGACACTTTCCTTCTTCTTAGCCAAGTCCTTGGGTTATTTATAGGAAAAAGGTGTCGTTGGATGCAAGACACGTGGACTCATCCGAAGGTGCAAGGCGTCTGCTCGTAGACATCGATCAGTCACTTCTTCTGACTAGGAATTGATATATGACAGAAATGTCACATCCATATTTCCTAAAGTTACGGGCACAAATATGGCCAAAAGATTCGTTCGTGAAACTGGTGGTGGAGGGGTGTTTCTCCTCTTCTGCCTCAGCAAAGACGCCTCGGTAGATGTGAACGCCTCGGATCCTATCACTTCGGAATATCAACGCCTCGTTCATGTTGTACGAGGCGCACCTTCCTCCTTACAGAGCACCTAGGATAGGCAAAGCACTTAGGCGTGCCAGGTGCTATGTACAGAGGCGTAACACTATGTGTACAAGGGAGTTTTACAGGGAAATGTACAAAATTCCACTGGGCATGTTTTCATTAGGTGTTGGGCGAAAAAAAAAAAAAAGAAGCCATACAGGTGTTTCCATCTTAGCACCTAATTTCTATACAAACAACTTAACTGTTCACCGGAATAGCATAAAGGGAGTCGGCTCCTATTGCCAATTTATAGTTTGATCAGGGACTCCTATAAGCAACTCGAGCCGATTAACAATCCAATTCTTAGTTACCTTTTAAGGCAAAATCAAGCTCTACGTGCATATGTAACATTTTTTGAGTAGTATGAGAATTCAATAATTACAAAATTTATCATGGAGTTCATTTTACAATTATTAAACACAAAAGAGAGAGAGTGAGAGGTAGATACTTACTTGGCACCTGGTTTGGCTACATTCTTGAAGATCCTCTTAGCACAGTTCCTTGCCTCCAGTTCACTGGTAATGTTCTCAGCCTCGGCTCTTCCAAACTCATCAACAGTTTTGGAAATAGTCGACAGCCCAAATGACATAACGTAATTTGCCAACCTCTTTGCGCTCCATGCAGAAGCCGTACTCTGGGTGCTCAGCTTCCGCAACTTCTCAATATCTATCCTCCTTGTTCCCACCCTCTTCGATTTTGAAAAAGCCCGAGATTCTGGCCTCAACTTTGCTGGGAGCGATTTTGATACCATCAAATCCTTGTGGTGTTCTGCCTCATATGTCACCTCGTCCATGGGCGGCCCAAGAAGAATGTCGAGAACATAGTTATGAAAAACACTCTCCTTCATGCGATCAAAATATGTAGTGACATGAAAAGAAGAGGCCAAACTCTTGACTAATACAATTTTGATGAGCCAAATTGTAGCGCCTATAAGAACTGCCACCAGGGCTTGGAAAACTTTCTGCAATAATTTGTTCTCCTTGTGGATCTTGTAACTGAATATAACAGTCCATGCTAGGAGAACAAGGCCTAACCAAACACAATTCTGGATACTCTTGCGGAGTCCATAGACGAAGTACAGAACCTTTTCGCGAAGCATAAAGTTTCTTTCGATCAGGAAAGCACTGATTCGAATTATCCATTCAGAGACAAGGCGGCCACTGAAAATGACAAGAATCATTAGG